TTAGGACAATTCGCCAGGGCAAACACTTGCGCAAAACACAAACGAAATGCAAAATGAATTAGAGAAATGCTAGTGGTACATCACCACTAACATCGGGGTGTCTATAATGGACACCCGGCGTTACATCATTGGAGGGAGGGTCGGTGGGGTCGGCACTCCCTCCAATGAGGGGGCGCCGGGTGTCCATTTTGAACACCCTTATGTTAGTAATGATGTACCACTAGCATAATTCTTGCACATTAGGCTTTGGCTTTTTCCAAATAAGATAATGGATTTTTATAGGAGGTAGTCAATATTGGCAATTTGGTATATTTAGGTTCAAACAAAAAACAAATTGATTGTGATTTTGAAGAGGTACAGTAAGGTCCCTAATCTTTGGACAATCTAACATTATGGTCCCAAACCTTTAAATGGCACTACAGGTCCCAAACCATTGAAATGTTAGTGCTGTGAGCCCTTTTGTACATAATTGTTATTTTGACCATTTAATAATCGTTTTATGAGTAAAATGACGTCTTACATTTAATTTAATAATGTAAATATAAAAGGTAAACAAATAATATACACAAAAAAAAACCCACCACGAGTCCATCACCCTCCATTGCACCACCCAATTGCAATCACCACACCACTATCAGAACGTGTGTAAATCCGTTTTGATATTTGTTCAGAAGAATTTTGCTACTTTGTGGCCATGTAGAGTGCTTGAACTATGAATAGTGGCTATGAAGTGGAGAAATTGTTGATTTAAATTGAAATTAGTTTTAGTGAAATGGTGCTATGACAAGTCGATGACAATTGAACAAGGACGGTGGTCGGGCGGCGACATGTTCGAAGAAAGATGAAGTGATTGATATGGCGTTACTGAAAATAGATCACTATGCGGAAGATAAAAGAAGAAGTGATTTTCTTTAAATTACAAATGAGATTTAAAATGACAAAAGCATGAAATTTATGAATATATCATATACACGCTCCATCTCATTTATATAGATCGTTTTGTTTTTCACATGAATTAAGAAATCTTATTTAATGTTATTGAAAAAATATTTTTTGTCAAAAACGTTCATGTTTTACCCTTATTTAATTATCAATAACTAATAGTAGTAAATTATAACGAGACAAATTAGATAGTATATTAGTAAATGAACAAAACAAAATATTCTCAATAAAGAAACATGACTATATAATTATGACAAGAAAATAAAGAAAGTAGCTTGTATAAATGAGAATGAGGGAGTAATTACCATTGGATAATGATGAATCCTTAATAGCATAGTTGTCAGACTCGACACGGATACAGACCCGAACAATGCAGCGGGCCAATGAGTTAGTAGCTCAATCGACGGATCATTGCATAAAAACTTATAAAAAAATATAAAGTATAAATTTTTTTATGGGCAAAATTAAAAATTTTAATTCATTTTTCACTAATTATTTAGGTCTATAAAATAAAGTAAAATGTTTAACAAAAGTTTTTTAAAAGTAAGCTGTAAATTATTCATTAGATAAATATAAGTTATTACACACAAGTAACACTAAAACACTATACGTTCAAGTGGTGAGGAGCTCATTGTTTTTTTTAGAGGTCCAATATTCAATACCTTTAGACCTAAAAATTTTGTAGGAGGATTTCAAAACCCAATGAAACCTGTCAATCGGGTTAGGTGAATCGTCGGTTAACTTGGTCAAAACTCGATTTTAATCGAGTCAAGTATATTTTTATTAAATAATCTGCTCGGCCTGATCAAGAGTTCGGACCGCCGATTTTTCGATCCGATCAATTGGACTGAGCCAGGTTTTATAACTATGCTTAATAGAAATGAGATAGAATTTTAGAAGATTTTATAAAAGTCTACAATGTATGAATCATAGTCCAATTAATTTTGTCTAGGGCATTTTCTTCGTAAGCGCATATGTTCAACTGCCTACGAAAATATAATTTGAAATCGTACATCTCTTAACATTAAGATTGGCTGAGGAAAGGTCAAATTAATCATTTGAGAGGCAATTTTATCCTTGACTTTGCTATTGAAAGGTCGGTCAAACGATCCAAGTACGGTGTTCCAACCGTTATATCATACGTACTTCCCATTTTGAGAAAAGTTAAGCCCATTTTACCCCTTACGACTTTTTTCACATTTCCCAATATTCAAATTCAAGACTTCTTCCAAGACGGATTTATATTCTTCCAAAGCGGACATACATATGATATAATGTTTTGGACATGAGGCTCAAGTCGTTACAAAATCGTGGTAACATTTTGGCAAGTTATTCAATTGGTACCGAAATTCAACTTAAATCTCTCATAAAGTAGAGATCTTGAGTTCATTTAACTCTAAAAATGTTTTGTGCATTTAATTATCTAGTTCCTTAAAATTATTTGTTTGTAGGAATTATCAAGAAATTGTAGTATTTATAATTTAGTTGATGGTTTAGGGTCGTTTGGCATGACTTTTGAAAAGTTAAAAGTAGATTTTAAGATCTAAAAGTTACTTTTGAACCCGTTTGGCTACATTTATAAATAATTATGCCACATTGCCGAAATAATTAATATAATGGTTGACATAATGGCACAAAATACTATATTATTTGACTGTTTAAAACATGATTATCTTTTCCATCAACTCACCTCCTGCCACCTAGGATTCTGATACTGCTTCTGACATTATTCTTTTAGTTGTAACAACTTTTAGAGGAAGTTGATTTAATGTGACTTCATCTAAAAGTATTTCTGTAACCAAAAACTCTTTCACAAATTAGTTTTCAAACAAAAATTAAGATAATATCCTCCAAAAACTCTTCTATATGAAGTAAAAATAAAAGTAAAAGTTATGATAAGTGGAACCTTACATTAGTTTATTTATTAAATGGTTATACGATAATTAAAATAATATCAAAAATAAAAAGGACATTTTTACGTCTAGACTTTGTGTAAATATGCATATGTTTGTGAAGCGTGAAGGTTAACACTTGTTACATTTTATACCTTTTGGAAGACCATTAAATTGTTTAAGAATAATGCTAGTTGTACATGGACTAACGTGCAAATTAAAGTAGATAATTTACTTTCACTTTGTGCAATTTGACATTAAAGAGTTGTTTTGGGTTAAAGTCAGTCCCGCCTAGAGGTATAAACATCTCATATCCACCATTGCAGCTTTTGATGGGTTAGACTCGGTCACTATGTTTGGAAAATGGAGTTGGCAACCTACAAACATAGGAAGGATTAAGGAATGTTAAGTGGGAGAGCCACTTGCCGACTCGTCCCCCAAATGAGTTGAACAAGATCGAGAAGAGTTACACATGCAAGTCAACAGCAAGAAGTAGCTCACATGAGTTGGCTCAAGAGCGTAATGAGATTGCATTATTTCCTAGTTAATTTTCTAAAAATTGAAAATAGGAAAATTTTATGTAGACATCTTGTTTTGTTTAAATTATAATGAGCAAAATTAACATTATTTGTAATCACATATTACATCTTACTCACAATTACAACACATTGTTTACAATTTTGAGGAACTTGGTACTCATTTTCATTATAATTCCATCATAATGTCTAGCACAAATGAACTCTTCTAACAAGATGAACCATGACATGACGTGTCTTACTTAGAGTCAAAAAAGAATAGCATTACTTTGAATCGTTTGTTTTGAGTCTAACCCGTCCCAACCAGTTTCCAGCAACGGATTTAGGAATCTAGATGAGCACAAGGTTACTCGAGCGGCCATCGAATATAAGGAAAAAAATTTCAGAAGAATGTAAAACATAAAAAATAAAAATGTCATCCACATATATACCGCATCTCAACATATCTTTCACTTGGTGGGAAAAAATAAAAAATAAAAATGGTAACATATGGACACTAATTCAATCAAGTAAACACTAGCACAATAATTTAGACCCCAACAAAATTCCATGAACTTTGTCTTCTATATACTTACATAGCTATACTATTAGAATAAGTGTTTGTCTGATAATTTTATTAAAATTTTATCAACTTTTCAATTAATTAAACTTCAATTTAGAATACATTTGTTATGGAATCCATAAATTTTATCAACTTTTCAACCATATAATTCTTCAAATTAAAATATGGGAAAAATTTTACAATCGAAAATTTACATCTAAAAAAATCATATCTCATGTAATATTGCATCTGAAAATTTACATGGAATATGATTTTTTCGAATGTAAAATTTCGAAAATTTTTGATGTCATGTCCTATATTAATTTCCTAATAAAATAATGCAAATTACATTGAGAAATTTGTATCACGCAATAATAAATGTTAACGAAATAATTAAATTTTTTTTAAAAAAAATGCGAGTTAGATGCCTCTTTTTAAATCGTACGTTNAATTTGTATTATAAAAAAATAAATGTTAATGAAATAATTAATTTTTTTTTTAAAAATGAGAGTTAGACGCCGTACGTTTGACGCATCTTTAATTATTTTCGATATATGTTTGAACTATTCGATATACCAATAATGTAGTCCTCGAAACGAACTTTGAGATGATATAAGCGATTTGTAGATTCGACTATCGTACGATCGTTGGAAAATTTTTAAAGTTAGCATGTTATGAAAATTCTCGAAATACTAATTTTAAACCGCATATTTGACAAATCATAACATTTGCTACGATTGGTCGTCTCGCACTCCGTTAACAACATAAAAAATAAACTGTGAACACTTCGAAATGATATTAAGAATGTAATATTTCAATTTCGTTTCACATCTTATAATGATTTTAAAAATTAAAACAAAACATAGAAAAAATTTTTAAAAAAAAAAGGNACATCTTATAATGATTTCGAAAATTTAAACAAAACATAGAGAATTAAAAAAAAAAAGCAAAGTTTGGGGGACGTGCCCCAGGCCCACCCTTGGTCCGCCAGTGTTCATATGCTTACAAAAAATAGGCCCAAAGAGAGAGGAAAATGGCAACTCCAATGGATATGTATACATCCAAATTCCTCCCGCCCCTATGTTCTCTCTCTCTAAATTCTCTTCTTTTTTTCTGTAATAATTGGAAGTTTTCTTTTTCTACCCTACTCTCACTTTTACATCTTTGCCCCTCCATGGCCACAAGTAAAATTACCAAACTATCAATTCCAGTTACAATATCACCCTCCATGTCCTCCACTTGCATGCTTACCTCCTTTAGGTCTAACTCTGTCCCTTCCTTACCCCCGCAGGTGACCACCACCACGCACTGAACCAACTCGCCCTCCTCCACCCCCGCAATCACCGTGGAATACCGGAGCTGCATCTCCTCTTTCAACCAGTTCCGTCGAGTCTCCACCGCCTTCGAACTCGCCACGTTGACCGCCCTTTTGCAGGCGGGGTCTATTATAATCCAGCTTACTGTGAGGTGCTCCTCTAGATTCTCCATACATGTGCTCTCCACCCCTTCGAAATTTACCGGCACCGGCACCGGCACCGTTTCTTTTAAGTTGAGAAGGTCGATTCTCAAGGGTGAACTCAAGAACCACAACGAACGGGTTTCACTTTTTAATACTTTGGAGTAGACTAACTTTCCAGCGTAGTGAATATCTACCGCTGATATTAGTTCTGGCGTTTCCATCAAACGTTTTTCTTGGGATTCCTTCGAACTGTGGCGGTGGAGAAGGCCGCGGTGGTGGAGGGTGGGGAAACAGTCGGAGTAGAAGGATCGGTGGCCGGAAGGGAAGGCGGCGATGGCGTCCACAACGCAGGGGTGAGCGGTGGAGGGCCAGGTGGAGTTACAGATGTCCCTCCATAGATTATCTTCTTTGCATAAAGAGTTGAATTGGGTTGAAGCACAGGTTGTGGAAGCAAGAGTTGGACCATCAAGCCTATTCAAGATGTGGGTTCGGATTACATCTGGATGTATGGCAGTGATGGAAGTTCCTCCGCCTTGATAAGACGTTGTCCCTTTGGCGGTGGCGGAACAGGGAGACATGATTGTTGTATTGCACGTTAGGATGTGAAATTGTCCACCTTATTTAGTAATACTAGTAGTAACAAAGATGGAATGGTTATAGAAGGTTCAAACAAAAAACAAGTTGATTGTATATTTGAAAGTTATAGTGGGATCCCTAACCTTTGGACGTTCTAACATTATGGTCCCAAACCTTTAAATGGCTCTACAGGTCCCAAACATCCAAAATGTTTGTGCTGTGAGTCCTTTTTGGACATAATTGTTATTCTGACAGTTTAGTAATCATTTTATGAGTAAAATGATCATTTTAGCTTTAATTTACCGATGTAACTGTAAAAGCTATATATATATATGTATGTATGTATCCCCACACCACACACACCACCACCACATTGTTGCCACCACCACATCACCACCCAAACTTGTGTAAATCAGTTTTTGTATTTATTGATAATTTCGCTACTTTGTGGCATTGTAGAGTGCGTGAACAATGAATAGTGGCTGTGAAGTAGATGAATTATTGATTTATGGAAGTTATTTTTCGTTGAATGGTGCTCGACGATAATTTTAATCAAAGGCAATGGTCGGTGGCTACATGTTTGGAGAAGATGAAGTGGTGGCATGATGGGTGCATATAGCCATGTCAACGAGCTCGGTTTGCCGAGTCGAGTCGAACTATGAGCTGAAACTCATAACTTGTACAATTTATACGTATTATAAATAATAACTACATATTAATATACATAAAAAATACATCTAAAAAAAAGCTCTCGGGCTCTTCACCGGCTCCCCAAAAGTGGGGATCGACCCGAGCCTCTGCTCGAGCTTTTTTCGGGCTGCTCGAGCTCTCGAGCTTTTTTGACATCGCTAGGTGCATATTGAGTTTTGGCCTGGGTGGGTGAAGTCGGGTTGTTCTTTTTTATTTTTTTTGCCGTTGTTTTTTTTATTTTGTATTGTTATTTCTTGTTTGATTGTTTTTTATGATTTTGTTTATCTATCATATTTATGTTATTAAATTAAGGATACTATATTCATTTTATATAAAAATTAACTATTTAACGGACAAATTATCACATTTTATCCAATAAGAACTTAAAGTGCAAACATTTCCAAAATTTATAATACACCCAAAATGAGTGCCAAACACGAGAATGTCAGATTTTTAAAACTAAAGCGTCGTAGAAGAAAATGAAAATAAATTGTCAAGTAGGTGACAACTTACACTTGAACTTTCTGATTTGAGTTTTTTCTGGACGTAATTTTTTTACTGTAAAATTTCTACCAACTTCTTTGCAAGTTTGATTGTGCCCCCTAACTTTAAAATTCTGTGTCTGCCCTGATTAGAATAATACCCTAAAAACTAATTAAAATTTTTACTCCCATAAAGTTTTAAATGATCTTTGGTCAACAAACCTTAATCTTCGAGCCTTTAACGTTGAAGTACAAAATTGACCACGATGAGATCTTGTTGGGACTTTATATTTTGTTCATTAGAGTGTGAACTTTTTATTTTTTATTATGATTTTGTTGGTATTTAGTTTTAAAATTTACATATATGAACTTGTGACGTGGAAAAAATACACTTGGTTTAAGTTTGACCGGTTACCCGCAGCAGCCCAACTATTAATGCATTTTGACTCAAAAAAAAATCCTTATAGCAAATTTGAATATTATACATTTCATTTGGACATATCTCTGTAAGAGTCAAATAATGTTTGCTACGTTCTTTTATATCTTATTTTATATATAAATAAATAAATTGTATTTTTGAGTAGACAGAACTATTTTGTCTGATTACATACGATTTATCTGTTACTGTTGACACACTAAAAGTGCAGCCCAAATTAAATGGCGCAAAGAGCGAAATCCAGTTGGGAATCCAAGATGAAAGCCCAAGCAAAGGGTATTACTGAAGAAAGTAAAAGCCCACAAACAAAGGAGTGCCATC